TTATTTATTTTGCATTATATTTTTGTAAGATTCTTTTTGCAAATGTCAAGTATTTTTTATTTATTTTTATTTTCTTGCACATATGCAAATTTAATGATACCTATTAATAAATAATTATACTCATAATTAAAAAACCATAAAAAGGTCAAAAAATTAAATAAATAACAATTGTATATAATTCATAATATTAATATCAAATTATTTTAGTACTAAATCTTTTTATAATATTTATTATGTATATTACAATTTATTAAATAATTTGATTTTTTTTCAAATATGGATATCTATTTCAGTCAAGTAATTTAACCGCAATACATTGAAAATTTTCCGTCAACATTTTTAATTTCCCCTACAAACCATTCATTAAATAATTTGGTTTTTTTTTAAAAAAAATTTGCCAATATATTTTGGTCAAGCTCCTTGACCGAATTATATTGAATAATTTTATTTAGGTTTTTTTTCCTTCGATCAAATAGCTTAACCAAAAAAATATACAATAAATTTCCAAAAAAAAAGAGTAAATCCTATACTATTTCGGTTAGTCATTCCGCCCAAGAGAGGCCGAGGAGAAGTTTTTTTGCCATCTTATTTTGGTTAGTTATTTTGCTCGACAAAGTTAGATCAAATACCAAAAATAACCCTTACCTCTAATTTGGTCAAGTATACTGATCGAAATATTTAATTAAAATATTATTGATTAGTTCAGTCAAATTATTTGTCCGAATATAATAGTTATTTAATGAGCTTTTCAAGCACGTTTTCGGTCAGTTATATTAACTGAATTAATGATATATTTCGATTAAGATGTGACATTTTTTCCAAAATATTATTTCATACAGAGGATACTCAGGCCAACAATTCGGTCAGTGGACTTGACCAAAGTGTTGTCTATTCAATCATAAAACATACTTATTCGGTCAAGATGCTTGACTAAAAAAGCCCCTAATTCTAGTAGTGTTTCTCAAGGTTAAAGATTTTGGGTTGTTCTTGCTTGGAGTTGCATATACACTTGTAGGATAAGTACATTAATTAAACTTCTAAGAGGTGGTTTGATGAAAGCATGAAAATGTATATTTAAAGTGTGCCTAATCATTAACATTTGTAGAATTATGAGTTTAAGAGTTTTATTTTTTACAAGTAATTTCATAAGTGTTCATTATATTCATGTTGTGCAAATCTTGTGGTGATTGAAGGTTTGATGATTAAATGGAGAGGATTATAAGAAAATGACTTGAATGCAAAGAGCTAAAAAGATGAGGATCCAAGGAGTAAATTTAAAAGTTTGAAGGCCCAAGTTGGATTTCTCCATTTTTCATTAAGAGCAAAATTCGTGAAGTATGCTTTGACCAGTGCAAACGGAAAAACAGAACCATCAGGGGTCGCAAACCCTGAAGTAGGTTCCAACCCCTGGTCAATGTGGCACAAAAACAGAATTATGTAGGGTTTCGCACCTGATTGAGGTTCCAACCCCTGTCCAACCAACTATGCGAGAAGAAAAAAATAAAATAAAATAAATTCCCCAAGGCTGCTATCCTAGTTACCAAACATTCCCCTGTCCAACCAACTATGCGAGAAGAAAAAAATAAAATAAAATAAATTTCCCAAGGCTGCTATCCTAGTTACCAAACACACCTATTTTACTTTTAATATAAATAGGAGCCTTTAAAATTAGATTTAGCATCTAAAAAAATAGTTCCTAGGCTTCTATTTTCTTCTTTTCCAGGGCTAGAGAATTATATTAAAGGGTAACTAAACTTTCAACAAAACTAAGGAGAATCTTAATTGAGGAGTTTGATTTGTTATTTTATTTTGATTCCTTCAAGGATTTTATTATTTTATTTTATTTTTGAGAGATTATTAATTATTTTCATATTTGAAAACCCTAAAGATTATATTCATCAAGTTTCATATAAGATTAGTCATACTCTTTTTATGTGTAATTTGTTATAATATAATTAATTGGTAGATTCGTTTTGCTAGTTGATTCTTTACTGCAGTATTGTCAATTAGATATAGTGTCGCTCTTGGATAGCTCGTAATGATAGATCAGTTTGTTCGTCATTCAAATTAATTTCTTTCAAAATAAATATATTAGTTATTATTATTGGTCTTCAAAGTTAAATCTTTCGATTGTTTGTTTGGGATGTGAAACATGCAATTGAGTAATACATAGGAATCAAAATTGATAACAGTTAAACAAATCAATTAAGTGAACCTTGAAGTCTTGTTCATCATAATATTGTTTTCAATCTTTTATAATTACCATCTTTTATTTAAATATTTTTATTCTTAATTTTAGATTTCATCTTTTAATTTAATTTCTTATTGTGACAACTCTTTTTGTTGATTTAATATAGCTTCCCTATGGATACAACACCCAAAGTTACGCTACACCAACCACTTAGCCGAAGGGTTTTAATTTTGGGGTGAGACACCAAAATTTGGCGCCATTGCCAGGGAAGCCAAATTGACAATTAGAGTTTGAGCATTCTTCACTTTTCTTTTATTTCTTTTATTTCTTCATTTTCTTTAGTTTATTTTACTTTCTTGCTTTTATTTTATTTTCTTCATTCAAAAAAAAAAAAGAAAAAGAAAAAAGATTAGAGTGTATGAATAGATCAAGGGACGAAAAAGGGAGATTTATTAGATTAGTTCCACCACCCTTTCAAAAAGAAGAAGTCAAGTCTAATTCATCCTTTAATTCTGAAACCATGAGTCAAGATGGGGATCAACCTATTAGGACTTTGAAAGACTATTTGCACCCCACTAGAATAGCTACACCATCATGCATAATGTTTCATCCTAATACACCACACGTTGAGTTCAAACTTCGAATGATTCAACTTTTGCCTAGTTTCCATGGTTTAGAGAATGAAAATCCATATGTGCATATTAGGGAGTTTGAAGAGGTAGTAGCCACTTTTCATAGTCGAGCTGATACTATAGACACAATTAGGTTGAAATTCTTTCCCTTCTCCTTGAAAGACAAAGCTAAAATTTGGTTATATTCTTTGAGACCGAGATCTATAGGTACATGGGCAGAGATAACTCAAGCTTTCTTTAACAAGTACTTTCCACATCATAAGACTAATAATTTTAAAAGACAGATCTCCACATTTTCTCAAAAGGATAGTGAAACCTTATACCAAGCATGGGAGAGGTTTAAGGAATTACAAAACTTGTGTCCACATCATGGGTATGAAACTTGGAGGTTGGTTAGTTATTTCTATAAG